CTTTCTTTCTTTCTTTCTGAAACACAAAAGTGTAGCATAATCAGCATGTAACATATTTTTCAGAAAGTGAAACTATTCAAGAGGACATTTTGCAGAGGGAAATCAAATGGCATGGAGGAGATTGTGGAACCCTGGGATTACTGCTTCTTCAAATATGAAAGTGAGTATTCCCTTTTTTGAATTCTTTTGAATTTCAAGAATAGTTTAACAGCTGTATTGGATTTTTCAGGAAAAACAACAGAAAAAGTGATTGTGGAGGAGGTAGCTGACAAGGAAGCTATTCAAGAAAATGTCTTGGAGAAGGAAGAAAGGACAACTCTGTCTTCATCAAACTTCACCAAAGAGGCCGAAATCAAGACAACTTCTCCTCCTCCTGCTTCCTCCACAATTTCAATGCCATCAGCTGTGTCTTCAACTTCTCCCATGCCAGTACCTCAGCCAACCTTGGCATCATGGTTTCCGACACGCGTGACTCCCATTATCGGGGTCACTGTCACGCCGTTTCCGCGCGTCAGCGTGCCATCGCCAATACTTTTGCCAACTTCCTTCATTGCGGCTACAGTAACAACAGTGACTCCTTCCTTGGTCACAGCACCTGTAGTTCCTGTTACACCTTTAACACCACCCAAGCCCGTAGAACTTGATAATTTTTCCAAAGTCATGAGTGACTTGGGGAATCTTTCCAAGTTAAACATTTCTGCGGAATTTGTTGATGGCACCGTAGTTCATGCAGTAGTTCCTAGCTGGGTGTTACAAGCCCTAATTTGGGTTGGAGGTGTAGTGGGAATTACCTCACCCATCGCACTTTGCGTGTTCTGCTGTTGTCAACACTTTAAAATCAAGGTGTGTTGATTGGTACTCACATTCGCTGGTTTCGGGTTTTCTAAAACGGTTTTGGATTGTTGGCTTGCCTTTTCTTTTGCATGAAAAAGAAGAATGAGGAGTCAAATGTGGTTAAAGATTCAAAAACTAAGAAAAGGGAGACTCGGTCGTTTCCAAATCCTTCTTTTGAGGAGGAGATAGAAATGGCTGAGTTGCCTTCCTTGGCCACTATTCGACCCTTGATATCTTCCTTTCGTAAGTTGCATGCCATACTGCTTTTTGGCTTCATTTTCTCTGTTCCCAGGTCCGGCCAGAACAATTGAGTGCAGCGGAGGTCTGTTTTTTACCTTACCTTTTAGCTGCACTGCACTGTACAATCAATCAATAGTAAATCAATTTATGACTTGAAATAGCTCAGTAGCAAATTGAGATGTGGCAATGAAAAGCACGAAATGAAGGCTTGTTCAATTTTCTTTCAAATGGAATGCATTTTGATGGTCCCAAGTGACACAGGATGATCACAAGGTAAATTTGTAAGAAAACTTACCAAAAAAAGTTGTCAGGTGACTTTTTAATGAAGATGCTGTGATGGAGAACTTTTCATGAATGAAGAAATTGCAGGATGCAAAAATTTTACCAGAAACCTTCATGCAGTCTTGGAGAGCCTGCAGATGTTCCCAAAATTCAGAAGGAGTGTGTGAGAACGTGAAGGAAATTGGCAAGATAGGATGCTGTGAAGTTCCCATACTGCTGGCCTTGCAGCTCCTGGTGACCCACTGAATGCATATTTATGCTTCTGGATAGTCTAAAATTAGTTTCACTTGAAATCAGTTTAATTGAATCATTTTCACTTGAAATCAGTTTCAGAAATCCAGTCATCAAGAAAAAAATGAGCATGCATTGGTCGCCACAGGAGCTGCAAGGCCAGCGCCCAACATCACATGGATGCATGCAAAACAGGGCCCTGCAGCATTTGATCTTTCCTATTTCCATCTCACCTCCTCCTTCTGAGAATTTGCAGACTCTCCAAAAGAGGATGAAGTTTTGGTGCTTCCTTCATTGCCACATCTAAATTTGCTATTGAGCTATTTCAAGTCAAAAATTGATTCACTTTTTTGGCCCTCCCTCTACATATTTCTTAACATAACCTATGTCCTTGATATTTATAACATTGTTGACCATACATTTAAAGCAAATTATTTCAGAAACATCACTGTATTGCAGTCAACTTCTGGTTATATTTATTTTTGGTAAGAGAATTAATGGCTGCATAATGCAACTGTAAGGGGAATAGGGTTCCATTTTATGATAAGTCCTGCTTGTGACAGTCCTCCTGGAATGGATTACCATCATTAGGTGAGGGCCCACTGTACACTGGCTGCCAGTTCAGAAAAACCTGCGAGAATCGCACTCCACATGTTCAGTACAGTATAAATTTTTCTTGTTTCAACCATGCTGCTGGTCGGGCAATGTAACTCTTTCCATATCAGAGTACATCGCCAGTCAAAATCGAGGGGGAAAAAAGACTGATGCCCTTGTCATGCAGAGACGAAAAACTGTAATGCAATTCGATGACCCATTTACAGTTGAAGGTAATGAATGGTTAGGCAGTGAAACAACAGAAAAAAAGAATAAATGATAAGTCCAATAAATGGTCAAATCCATAATACAAGTTGCGTGCTAAAACTGTCGTGCATGGAAAATCTCCCATTAAAGTTTCTTATACGCGCTCCCTGGTTGTTCTTTCCAAGTAAAAAAATAAAAAAAGAAAACCGAAAAGAACAGTCCATCTTGGAGAATAAGGGCACTATCAATTCATGGATTTTTCCATCTTGATCAGGTCCAAAATGCCGTCCTGCATCTCCCTCACTGCATCTCCCTCGGTGAGACCCATGCGACGCTTATTGGAGATGTCGTAGACACCTCCCTCAGCCTCAGTGTGCTCTCCACGGGTTCCACGGACCTGCTCAATCAGTCAATCAACACACCTGTACTTGACTATACAATCAAGAGAGCCTTTTCCAATGCATCCAAGTTACATTCGTAGAAGCACCAACAAATACAGTACGTCGGACAAAACAAGTTCCAATAGAAGACAAAGAAAATCGGTTCACACCATATTCAAATTCCATGCGACACATCCACAAATAATAATTCCTGATGAGGCTAATGAGACATTTCAATAACCAATCGTGTAAGAAAGAGAGACTTGTTGTTCATTGTCAGACGAACATACATTTTCCAAACTTTCAAGATGAGGAATTCTATGAAGAACCTTACACACAGTATAAATGGTTGAACAATCTATGCGGTACACGGGTTGTCCCACTCCTGTGCATCCATAAAAATTCTGATATCGTTGGAAATTTAACACAATTTTCAAATGTTTCTCTTGACTTTCTGCACACTTCCTATTTTTTCAGAGTTTCAAGAAATGTTTACAATACACTGCAAAATGAAAAGAGTAGAATGCGTAGATGAAAAATTACCATGGGATGCGTGTACACAGTAGAGTACAACAACGACATTGTCAACGATGGATAGATAACACTTCGTCTGTTCAGTGCACGTTTGGCTTGCGGCGACAGCACCACAAAACGCGTCCAATGAGAGACTCGGAACTTTTCTTTTTTTTGTCTTTTGACCCGCCCATTAACACTCAAAGGAAAGGAATACTCAGGTTTAAAGTATGCGAGTATCGTACTGTTCATACTCGTAATTGGCTTACAAGAGTAGAATACAAACCTGAAGATTATATTTGCCGGCAACAGCCTCAAGTTTGGCTTTATCAGCAGCAAGTTTCGGCAGCTTGATGTGGACCGAGGCACGGATCGTGGTCCCCAAGTTGGTGGGACAGAAGGTGAGGAAACCGAGTCGGTCGTGATGCGAGAACGGGAGACGTTTCTCAATCTCACGCACGGCAGTCACCATCCTCCTGTACACCTGGCCCAAGTCGCCCCCCTTCTGCATGGAAATGATTCGCAGATGGTCCTCTTCATTGCACCAGACCAGGAATGTCTTGTCGTCGTTGTGGAAAATACCTCGACCAGATGGCCAAAATCTGCAAGCATTTGCAGCCTATTCAATAAGCAGGGGGGAAACGAATGGTCAAGCGGTCAACAAACATATACAACGATGACTCAAGTTCCAGTACAGATAAGCCCAGTATAGTACAGTACTGTGTACAATTCTGAACTGAAATGTACGTTGATTCCAAAACAAGAAATACTGTATTTTACTGAACTTCAGTTAAAAAAAGAAAAAGAAAACCGCGTCTTTCCTTCATCGATCCATTGTTCATTTGCAATTCGATTCATTCGGGGAATGCACGAGAAACGAGATTCAAGAGAAGGCAGCACAGCAAAGCAGTGTTATTCCTCAGTCTAACCTGCAAGAAGCGATCCCCCTCCTTAAAGAGGAAGTGATCGTCGATGAGTTTTTGCTGCACATCCTTGGCCATGCCGGTCAAAGGGTAGTAGGTGCCCTTCAACTCGCCACCCAAACCACTCAAGGTGGAAGAGACCTTCTTCTCCATTTCCACGTACTGCGCTTCAGTAAGACACGGGTTGAAGGGGTAGCCGTCCAAAGACCGTCCACATCGAGTGCGCGTCGAGATCACAAACTTGCCCTCCGGGTCCACGTTCACGAAGGAGTCCAGGTCACCGAAGTCACACGACGGATGTTTATCAGTCTTTTTGAAGCCCACGTGGTACTCCTCGATTATCGGATCAAACAGGTCAGCAAACACTGTGTACGAGTCGGCATCCGGAGCATACACTCCAACACCAGAATCCAAGTTTGCTACGCCTGAAAAAAAAAAAATTGGTTAATTGGTGCATCAATCAAATGTTCATACTGTGTAAAGTGCTACACAGTAATACATGCATGATCAAGCGAGGCTTCGGAGCGCTCATCGAAGTCCCCGAAAAATATGATACAGTACTTATGAACTTTTGCAGCTGTACCAAATATACCGGTCTAGGAAGTAAGCGGAACAAACTACATGGCACAATTCCAAGAGTTGGTACAGAGAAGCCAACATAATTTTCCAGGTTCACGTTAATCCGACGAATTTCAGTCACCGCGTGTTCATACGACGGGTTCCTCACTGCTGGAGGACCATTCCAAATAATGAAAATTTCTACGGCGATAATGCGTACAAATACGATAATGCAGTGCGTTTCGCAACTCTCACTCACCCGACTGTATGACATCAAGCAGGGATGAATTGAACGTGGTCTTCCTGACTTTGCAAGTGTCGAAGATTTCTTTTGTCAAATGCTTCTTGAGCAAGGACTTGGAATCCGAATCTTGCAATGCATTGAAGCCTTCTTCAAGCTTCGCGAGGATCGCAGGGTCATCCATTTTCAAAATCTTGACCCTAACAAGAGAAACAAACTCGTGCTATTCATCACTAGTGGCATGCGTCAGCGGAAAAAAACGAAGGACATTAATACGCTGAAAACGAAGAATGTGGGTGGCAGATGGGAGACCATTGAAAATAAGTAGGTCCGGGCTTTTTCTCACCTCCGACCCTTTTTACAACACATTGCCAATGGACCTGCCATGTTGCCAACTTGAATTGAAAAGATGTGTGTGCGCGCGTAAGGGATTAAAGAAAAACCTAACAAAACTATAGGGATATAATGAGGCACACAGCACAGGTTCCAAGAAACCTGGTCAATCCTCGTATATCCGACTCAACCTTTGCCAGCTGTTATGGGAAAATGGCCAACAGACGCATTCAATAACTTTGCTCGGACCTGAGATACTTGTAAGAAAGTAAAAAAAAAAAGAACTTGGTGCTGTTTGTCCATGTTGACGACGTATTTCTGAGGGAAGTAGATTTGCAAGGGCATGATTCTGATGCATAACTTCGTCTACGATAGCAGTGTTGAGAGAAGATGTACGGGAACATGTACGAACATCACGAATTCCAAAGATAGAATGATAAAAATGGAATACTGTCTACAGTACGTCGAAAAGTTTAGGATTTAGTGAAACAGAACGAACAAGGAGTCAAGTACAGACCCGATTAAAGAGAGCCCAGGCTAGTGCCCACTTACCCACCCAGCTTCTTGGGATTACCCTGCACTCAAGTGCTTCCAAATCAAGAACAGTGCTGTAGTGCCAACGTTGATGCTCACAAAGATGGGCTAGCGTGTAAGAAGCGCATCTTATTTCCAGACAGCCCAACAGGCGACGAATGATCATGGCTATAACAAATTCGTTGCCGTACTGTAGTCTATACTCACAGAAACCTTCATCTCACAAGGAAAACCTGTCAGGCACGAATCCTTCTCTTTAATTTTCAGCGCCCTCACACCAGAGGCGAACTCCGTTCGCGTATTCGCATCAATTCTTTTTCCTGGAACATTACGAATTCCCGGCGGGAGTCATCCACGGCATGCATTCTGCTTTTCATAATGAGCACATGCAGCAAAGCACTCTTCTTGTGAAAAAGGCACGCGTTTCTTCAGCGAACTGGAAAATTCAGGAAGCTAGTTGTTGTCGCCAGCATCACATGCCTGTTCGGCAGCAACACCACTCGGACCCAAATTTGATCTGAAAAAAAAACTAAATGAACCCCTGATGTCGCACCACCCACAAAGGAAGGCAGCATGTCAAAAGGCGGAACATTACGACCCCAGCGACGGCCATGCATCCCACCACAATTCAATGAATTGTGGTCCACACGTGGCACAACAAGTCGCCAGGACCGGCTTTAGTTCCACGGAATGCTTGACAAACTCGAGAATGGGATCCGCAAATCGCTCCAACATACAATACTCGTCGAAAAAGAAGGAGAATACGCATGGTAAAAATCCCAGCAAATCAAAAATGAAAACACGATTTCCAAGAAACTTTCTCATACAGTACTGTAATCAAAGCTCAATCGTTGTCACTCCCATTCGCCACTGTCCTGTTCGTACCCCCACCACAAAAATCATCATCCGAACATTTTCCTCTGGATTCAAAGTATTGTAGAAACAATCAGGAAATACACTGTATTTGAAGGCATCGCCGTCTTCCAACGACAATCGCCAAAATGAATCCCACGTGTACCAACTTCCATCACATGGGAGTTCTCGTAAATCACGAAGAAAAATCGAGGAAATTGGTTTTGCATGGTTCTCCATTAGACTGAAACTTGAAGAGAAAGGGAACATCAAAGAACGCGGTGGCAAGGCTGATTGATTACTGAAGTTGAGGCTTTCCGCAGAAATCTGCGCTTTCCCTCTTTTCCACGTAAGTCTGCCAGCCAGCACTTTCCGCATGAACGTCTAGTCGCCAGAAACGGTTATTACCCCGTGAAATCAAACGCGAAAAAACACGAGTGAAAATCAAGTTATAAATTTCATTTCTTTTTCTTTTCCGCGTTCGCTCTGAGAACAGCTCCAGGAGCCGGATATGGGCGCTGCTGGAACAGAGGTCCTGAGGCTGTACTGTCCACGCCTGTCTTAGCATCGCTGCTAGTGGGGAGTCCATCCATCCACGTTCCCCTGCAGAAAAACGACCAGGTGATCCCACGTTGTGAAAAGCAGCAATAAAATGTTTTCCTCTGACAACTTGGAACATTCCTTGATGAATATTTCGCCACGTTTTCATATGGGTACACCTTGCACATCAATGGATTCGTTATCATTAGCAAATCAAACTTGAGGGATATTTGAAAATCAAATTACACTACAGTACTGTACGAAATTTGAGCATCTGGCCTTCTCGGTTCTCGCATATACTGTATGTGTGAACACTCCAGTATATTACAGAACTGTACAGTAAAATCTCAACAAATACCATCATAAGAATTTACTTGTACAAAAAACTTTTTCCGAAGTCCCAACAGAAAGACCTTCGAAGTACATGTTAAGATCATCTTACTAAAACAAAGCCCCCAATTCCAGGAAAACAAACTTTTTTGAGTAATGTATGATCCCGCACGTAGAAGTTTCCAGACTAAAGCAAACACACATCCAAACTGTGACTTAATGCCGGTTCTTCTTGTGGCACGGATGGAAGCTATAATCGATGACAACATGTTCCAATAAGTGGTTCCACACATCATCCCTCAAGAATGAAGAGATCGGTATACCAGATGGAATGCATGATTAAAGCTAGTTTTTCCAATAACTCAGTTTTTGAAACAATAATAAAAAATCTGAGTACGCCAGAAAAACAACATGTGACTTAATTGAAAATTCGCAGGTCTGCTTTGAAAATGTTTTTTGTCATGAATTATGAAAATCACGTCACAAAACATTTTTCCAGTAAAACGACCTTTTTCCAAAGTACCCGAAAACTTGTTTCAATGACAACCTATGAACGATATACTGTAATAATTACATTTTCTGAGGCGACCTGCTTCTTGTACAATACTTTTGGTCAAAATTTCTCAATCAAGGCAGTCTCCGAAACAAAAACAAAAAAAGCTGCTCCTACTCGCAACGAATATAGGAAAGTCACTCGAGAAAATCTCCCGAGTACGTCTCGACCAACAAGTGCCCACATAGTAGAACAGTCGTATAAAAGGAAATGGACGAATCAATCGACAGACAGGGGTGTGCGTTTGTCCCCCGCCGTCCTTTCTGAAGGTGCGAGGTTCAGAAGAACAAACGCCACCCCTTCTCCCGCACAAGCGACAATCAAATCGAACCACATTCTCATAGACGGAACTACTGTACTGTGTAAGTCATTTCACCTCGGAATGTCGGAATAAGCCGCAGGATCCATGGGATCAAGATCGGCCGTTTTTTGTCGCTTCCGTCCCTTGGCGTAGAGTTTCTCTATTATGGCAGCTTTGGTGGCGGCAGGGTCTTTCTCCATGGGCTCGTAAAATTCCTGCGTGAATCCAGGAATGTTTTCTCATTCAATTACTGTATTTGGAAAAAGGGATAATGAAGTAAATGAACGGAGGAGTGCCTCCGTCTTACCAGTTTCTCTTCGCTCTTGTCTTCAACCTTGTTCTTCACAGGCGCAGCAGATCTAACAACTGGATGGGCTTTGATTTGAGCCCGCAATACGGCCGCAGGTGGGGATATGTTTGCTTTTGGACAGGCGGGGGAAATCCAACACACATTCCCAGTACTCTCCTCCCAGTAGTAGAATCGCCCGCTGCAATGCATCAAACAGGCCCCACGAGTTCTGCTGCACTCTTCTCTTATCTACAGAGCATGACATTCCAAGCCCGCCTCGAAGAACCCGTCAACGATTCATTTGCAACTACTTTTTTCGTCAAGACTAAATCAATCAGAGGTCCAGCCACATTTGATGTCTCCTTGTTTCGTCCAAGAAACAAGGAGACATCAACGACCGCGAAGGAAACTCACGTTCCCGGGTCCAACTGCTCCTTCCATCCCGCAGGTAAGGGATACTTGCGCAGCATGTTCCTTCTCCTCCGCTCGAATTTCCCTTCCGGTCTTCTTGGATCCGCCCAAGTTTCCCAGCAAAACGGAGAACACTCGTGATGAACGTTCCATTTGTTTGGGCACATAGGGGCAGGCTTGAAAAAGGCAACATTCCAAATTCTCACTCCCCCCTTTCTTTTCCCCAAATCATTCCAACCCTCACCGTTAATTTCATTCGAAAAGAAGACGCGATATTCTCCTTCGTGTAGTCATCGTAATCCTCCGCAATAATTTCCTCCTCTGAAATGAATTAAGATACAAGTCAGCGCGAGAAAATTGAAATGCCAAGTCCTCATTTCATCTGTTCCACACATACTAGAACACGTGAAAAGTTTTCGGCGGCGACCTAGTGACACACACATATACACGAACTCTCTCCCGACAAAAAATTGTTCCGTAACGTTCGAGCACTACACATCTATACATACTTGAAGACATCAAAAAAACTACCACGTTAGTGACACCATCAGTTACACCGAAGAGAAGAGAATGCAAGTATACGTTCCTGCTTGACGGACTATCATCCTCAAGTAGAATTACTGTTGGTACTGTACTGCAGTCCACATATCCTCAACACTCGCGACGGTGATCAATTAATGGGCTGTACTCAACTAGCTACTAGAGAATAAACTCACCTAGCTCTTCATCTTCCTTGGGGATTCCGCGCGTGCCAATCAATCCACGTTTGCTTAAGCGGGCCAACAACACCGGTGGCAGAGGCATCGCGAGTCTCACGGAACACAAAATCAAATCACTGCAATACCCGCCTGCCACATAGCCAGCAACAGAATTTAACCGGCTCTTCTCAACATCAAGAAGCAGCGAGGTCGGATGCGGGAAACCAATGCAAAAACGTCCAACAAATAACAAGTGTAACAAGTGAGCCGCGCTGTTTTCGTCTTCACATTTCTCTCACATGTCCAACACTCTTCTTCTATAAATACAATCCTGTACACTCTCAACGTCAACCGCGAAAAACAAGCAAGATTTCTTCCTTCAAGAAGAAGTGCCAAAACAGATTCGACCATCAGTCAACGAAAATGAAAAAAAAAAAAAAAATGAGAACGTCCCGAAAGGGAACGCAGTGAAGGAGAACTCCGCCAGCTTTTGCCAAGCAGATTCAAGCAAAACCAGAAAAAAATCGCGACAGCAAGACTCGGTAAAAATGACCAGCAATCAGCGCTTATCACCCACAAAAGGGAAGAGGCAGAATTTTCCCCACGAGGTTATTATCGGGGCCTCAGTGAAATGGTCTTCCCCCAAACTCGGATGACTTTTTAGTTTGAGCCGGGGTTCGAAAAAAAAAAAAACCACGAGAGATTGAGGAACTGCGGACAACGCCGGACTTCAATTGTGGATCTTGATTGCCTTCTCAAGGTAGTTGTACCTCGACTTCTTTGGCGCCTTGTTCACGTGATCCAAACCTAGCCACAGTTTGGATGGCATGGTGCCTACTGAAAGAAAATCAATAATCCGTATCGAATACTGTACTCTTTCCACCAACTCACGCCCCAGGACTTCTGACGCGGCAAGATCAGATTTGAACAAGTTAAAACGACATAAAATGATTCATGGGCAACCCACATATTTCTCTACGGATAATCGAAATTGAGTTCAATCACGAATTTCGCACGTTACTCGACATGTCTGTCAAGGAAAGATTCAGCATCATAAATATGAACGATGCCTCCTCCAATTATCACTACTGTACTGTATACTATTCACTGTTCATCAAACCAATAAAACGCGTCAAAATCATGCTGCATCATGATCGGAAAAGAGAGATGTCCTCACCCGAGACAACCACAAAGTCGTCCAGCCGTATGGATGCGTCTTCATCGTTCAGGTACACGGCCTTCCCTCCGGACACTAGTGCTAAACGCCACTGCGATCGAAAACGAGGAAAACGGATTTCAACACATTCTCCGCTGAACCGACTTCACGTCAAATTGTGACCACAGGTGCAACTCCTCACCTTTTCGAACTCCTTTTCTGGGACCTCAAGGCGTTTTTGTATCCGTTCCCTCACGCTCGACAACTTCTCTCCCTTCAAGTGAATAAAGTAACAACACAGACAATGACAAAACATCTCAAGTGAAGAAATCACTACAACTCGAATCGCCCAAAATACGGTACTAATAATGGCAGGGATTACCCGTGAATTGATGAACTGCGACAACTCTCGAGTCCACCAATAATTATTGATACATTTATTCTGAACGCGTGTTCTTAAATCAAAGAACGGCATCGAGAGCTTATCCATCTCCACCCATATATCATCAACTCAATGACACTTGCAGTCCACACAAGGGTTGTCCCAGGTCTCCACGGCTTTTGGAGATCTCGAGTACAGTATAGCAGCAGTCAGAAAAAAAAAATCTTCTTTCTGGTAACTGATAATTATTTAGGGACATTTATCAACTCACTCCACGATGTGAATTGCTAACTTTTCGGCAAACTAGAGGAATCCACACGGATTTCGTAGAGCCGTGGAAATTTAGAAACTCGGCTGAACAAAGAATGCTACAGCATTTTCACTTTTTTTTAGAAAATTTTCTCCATTGTGCAACGTATTTCTGACAATTTTTCATTGCATGGGTGAAGAAAAACATTCAGCAAAATCAAGAGACACACAATGTTCATTTATGATTTTTATCCCTTACTCTTCGAAGGTTTTGGAGTCCAAGTCGAAAATTTCTTTGATAAAAGAGATTCATTTTGGATCATTTCTAATTTTGTACAACTACAGTGATTTTTTCATCTGGCCGTGATTGGTATTGGAACTTTCCACATTCCTGAAAGGTTGGTCTCCTGAGATACCCGGTCAGCCAGCAGTTGGTCAAACCACAGTTGCGCACCCACCAGCCAAGACAATCCTTGGTCTCCGGAATTCCCTTGCCCAAAAAACTGCGGGTCGGTCACCCAATTGTTGGGGCACCCCAACAATGGGGTGACTCGAATCCCATTGATTCTAAAATCTTGGTTCATTGACTTTGCAGGCTTTGGTGAGCAGTATGGTTTCCTACCACAGATTATATTTTGTTCAAAATTTCATCTTGAAGAATTTTCACAAAAAGAAAAAACTCATCAAACCCAACCTAAACTAACCTAAGCTTATCTAACCTAACATAACATAAACTGACCTGACCTAACCTAACATTGCTGAAATTTTGCAAAAAAACAATCATCTGTGGCAGGAAACCATTCTGCTCACCAAAGCCTGGAAAGTCTTCGCAACCAAGATTTTAGAATCAATGGAATACTAGTCACTGTATTGTTGGGTGCCCCTACAATCGGGTGACCGGACCGCGGTTTGGTGTGCTGGGGATTCAGGAGACCAAGCACTGCCCGGGCTGGCGGACCGTGGTTTGACCGACTGGCGGGTGACCGGACCCGCTCCTTCTGAACCCCGTCCCCTAGCCAAGAGGAGGGAGTACTGAGAAGCCCAATCTAATTTTTGAATGATCTCGGTTCCTCGCTTAACTTCAAGATGAAAAAAAAATTCGAAAAATAATGCAATTTCACGGTATTCACAAAAAAGTTTAAATCTTCAATCAGGTTGAAAGCTTTTCTTATAGGAAAAAGTATCAGCCACCACAAGCGAAAAAAATTTAGTACAGTACAGTGTAATTTGTCCACTTCGAAACTGCTTCTCTACTTGAGCAAGACCCGAAGGCGGAGTTCGGACAACCCTTTACAATACAGTGCAATCAAGGACAAACACACACTCATTATACTCATTTACAGTATTCGCCATTTTTCTCGGCAACCGCCCGTTCCCAATGTTTGCTACATTCAGGATTTAGTAAAAGTACATCACAAATCGAATGAGCGTAACAAAATTATTTCTTATACTGTACTTACTTTTTCCTGCATTACCATCAATGTTGCACGTCAATATTGATGATGAGCAAATAGAAAAACAAAGGAACGTGATGTTTGTTCGCTCGCTACATATAACTTCATTTAATGCAACTAACGGGTACAGTATTTCTTCGATTCATTCAATGAAGGAGGAGCTGAGTCGAGAGTCGTGCTTCATCATTCACCTCTCGGATTTTGACGTAGAAAGGAACGCCGAAGTTGGAATAGATTTCCTTGTGGAAATGGGCACAGGGCAGCACAAGCTCGCCGGGAGCGACGAGGGCTTCCTCCAACGGAACCTCCTCAATGCGAAACTGCTTCTGGGCAGAGACATTGAGCGATTCCAGAGGCGCGTCGTCACGCTGCACGGACTGGATCTTGTAGGCCGCCACTTCGAGCAGACGGAGCGTACCTGTGCCACCGCCTTCCCGACCCACCAACTGGACGTGGGGCGAGGCCACGGCTTCGTCCAACAAGTCACGCACCGTTCCGTTTTTATTCGGATAAAGCACGATCTCCTTCTCCTCGCGGCAGTTCATGCTCATCCAGACGCACTGCGGACGGAACGGTACAGAGAAATTGATTATTTCAACCGCTACGGTATTCTACGCTATTACATTACGTGAATCGGGTGAGACACTTGCTTCGCTTTTCAACAAAAAATTTTTCAACAAATGTTCCCTTGACGGAAACCACGCGAAAAAAAAATTCAAAAATGATGAAACGCAGGTTCAGTACAGGACAGAGAACAGCGAAACATAGAACTTCCACAGATTAACTTCTTCGAGGTACACGATAAGTTGACGGGGAGTAAAGCGCCGAGCTTGAATGAATACTGCTTCCATCGTTCTCTCGTATTCACAAAGCATGGTATTACACAGTGGGCACTTCGAAACTCAAATTCAACTACATGCTTGTTCGAAACTTACTCTGATTTGCTTTTTACGATCCAACTCGAACACCTTAATGGAGAGCAATTGGTAAAAGAGCTTCTTCGCCATTCGCGGCTTGTTGTATGACAGAAAATCCTTCAGAGTTCCCTGGGTATCACAGCGTAATGGATTGCCAGGACAATCACGATAACTGTAGGAAAACGAGAGAAAAGACAACAAAAATTAGCTTACATTGAGTTATTCATAGGAATGAAAAAAAGGACCATACACACGCACACGCGACACACAAACACCTAATCTTCGACAATCCTTGAACTCGTCTCAAATATTTTCCAAATGTACGATAGAAAAGTGCTCGAGAACGGCTGCGGATTCAAAGGGTCCAGCATTCATTGCATTTATGGAGAATAAAAATGTCCCCCTCTCGTGTGTTGCGAACGCATACAACATTTAAACGAAATACTCAACTTGAAAAGACGTAATTTCGACAGTCGAAGAAGGCTGAATGAATGATTTCGGACTCACTTCGTAGTCCTAAAGAATTGGATGCATTCTGGATCCGTATTGAGGCGCTCAGCTACACGCGCTGTCATTTCAGCGTATGTGTGCCTCTGAGATAATACCATCTTGAATCCTGGATCCGACGGAACGTTCTTGTCGCAGAAAAGAACTTCGATTCGATGATACATTTCTCTAAACACAGAAAATTTACATCAATAAAACAAACGTTTCCAAACAAGCATTAACAACGCGAAGTTTTCCAAAAAAAAAAAAAAACCGGGTGACGCCGACTCAAACCGACTAAATATAGTGCTGCACTGTACTGCACAGCACTCAAATACTTACCTGCGCGAAACTGGCAAATTCCCTGTGCTCTTGTTCATCGGGAAAGAAGAAATAAACGACCTACCCCAATTGGTACCACACTGGAGGATTTAATTACGGGAGCTGCGTTTAAATTTGAAACGCTTCCCAGCAAAAGAAAAAAAGAAGTGAACCATAACTGACAGCATCATGTCGCATGTTTTCTCAAGCTATGAAACGTGACACTAACAAAGAACGGCTCTCAGGAAGAGCACAATCGCAGCATTTTATGCAAAATTCATTTCCGCAGTCGAGCGAAGTCCATCATGAGATTCTCGAATCACAGAAGACTTTCGAATTCACGCAGTTCGCTATTGTTGCGTAATGGCTCAGTGAAAAAAGGCCTCAGTTCAACGAAAGTGATCCCGAAAAATAGAGCAACGTTCGATCGGCCACTTAGCACGAAGAATCAGAAACGGATAAAAATTAAAGAAGGCGAAGGCGATGCAATCAATAAGATGATATTTGAGTTCGCCTCTTTTTCGTACCACTGCACTGTAGTGCGGAGGTGCACGTAACTTTCTCAGAAATGAAAGGCCCATACTGTAATTTTCCTTTCACATAACATACGAATAAGACCAACAGGACGGAGGACCATTGGTTATAAACTTGATCGATCCTAGACAAGAATTTGTTAACCAAATCAGTTTTTCCCACAGACAAAAGTGAAAAAAAGGAAACCAATCCATTTCGCGAAACTGAAGGACATCTGAAAATTCAAATAAATAAGAAGTCGGGAAAATAAATATCTGCAGCCTTCTGCACGTGCCTTGAATGTTTTAGCCGAGTTGAAAGAAAGTGACATCACAATGAAAAAAGTCAAAGGAGCTCCACATCTAAAGGAACACAAAGACATGAGCATAAATGTTACACGTCTCCTTCGTAACGCTTCAATCAAAGGTGCCTTTATTCACAGCTTTTCGAAGCCTAGACCGTTTCATTGTTCGAGGAATGCATTCTGGAAAATTTGGTTAGGTAGCCAAATCAATCATTCTCACAAATCTTTCCCATGACCATCTACGAAGTATCTTTTCTTGGAAGTATACACGTTCGACCTCCAAGATTTAAACTTTTGAAATACATTACTGTCTACTTGAAGCAGATGCAGGAAAACTTCGCAAGAAAGCTCACCCTCAATCCCTTTCTATGAACAAAAAGATGCAATAAGCCCAGTGTATGACCAGTGCTCCGACTCTTTCTTCCCATGTAAACCCTCTTCTCATGCATGCAGTTCAAGCAGATAATTTTGGTGTTGAATCTATAGTAAGCGCCGGCGACACCTATGTCACCGCGCGCACACTAATTTCCTTTTGAGGCGCTATCGCGTCCTCGATCACAATGGCGGCCAGCTAGCAGAAGCCAGCCAGCCAGCCAGAGGAGCCTCACTCTTGTATGAGCTCTCAAACAGGCAACATCTCACAAGCCCACCCAATCTCCTGACTCTGCTATCTCGCTGTTAAGCAAATCAAAGTGCACTCTCCTTTAATAATTTGTAAAGATCCTCGGTGCTTGAAGTGAAGAATAAACCCTTCTGTATATTTCCCACAGAGAGTGTGTACCTTTCAATTTGAACACCTTGCGGATCTCTCACTGGGGGCTCGTCAAAAGAAAGCCAACCCTAGTCTAAAACATGGCCAACAAACATGAAGACGCAAAAGAGGAATCTCTCCCACCAGACTCTCCCTGAGCGCGCCTTACCAAAGCAACCTTTGTTCAATATTTACAAACGCAAAAAATCCCAAAGCCTACCACTGGCCTTAATTGCTCAGACTATATCGCGGTCCTAGAAGCTTGCGGGTATTTCACCAAACATGGTGTTCCTTAATTTCTCACCCACCTCTTCCCCTACCCCATCTTGTTCTTCCCATGCTGCCTCTCCTGCAGTAGACCTTCCCCTTCAGCACAAAGACAAGGAGGTTGACGCGTGTCTCAGACACGCATTGCATGTCTTCACCCAAGAAAATACTCCTGAAAAATCTTGTGTCTCATGCCTTCTCAGCATGACACAGCCCAACGTCTCAGAGGCTGCTACCCTGCTCTATGAACAGGGCCAAACAACGTTCCACGATCTCGCGGCCAGTCTCAGGGCCCAATTTGATAAGTTGCAATTTGATTATCTCCAGTGATTTCAATCACTGGTACCTCGCGCCAACGAAATGTACATAAATTACGGATGTTGCCTCTGTGAAGCATATCTCAAATATTTGCCAGCTCCACCCGGGAATCTCCCTGCTCATCATGCATGCCCTCATTGGCCAATTTCTTACCACCATCCAAGGGGCAATTGCGTCCCATATGCAAGGTTGAGCGCTTGCAGAACCCAACGTCACGTGGAAACAATTCTGCACCTAGTCAGATGAATTCTGTCTCACCCACCCCCACGCCTGGGTCATTATCAACCGCGGACCGACGGACAATCAGCCTATCTGCAAGACAAATCCGCAATGTCCATTTAGCTCCTCAGGAACATCCTCATCCTCCAGATCCACCAACCGTTGCATGCATTTCTGCATTCATCACGATTGGATGGCAGCGCATACTTTGGAAGAATGTTCCATTCACACAGGACAACCCCCACCAGCTCACTTTTGCGAGAAACACCGCAAGTATGTATCCCATACCACCAAGCAGTGTTGCCTGCAACGGCCGGACACAACAGGAAGTGAAAAATCTACTTCTGCTAAAAAACAATCATGCATTATTTGTGGTAAAGCAGATCACGTGGCCGCCAACTGCACAGCACCCGGAAACGGGACACACAGGCAGTGACGGCGGTTATCTGCACCGTGCCTACCCCGCAAGCTGCCCAGGACCGGATTACCTTCATCTCTATCATGGATCAGAAGTGCACCGCCCTCATCAACACGGACACTTCCAAATTGTTCATTGTGGCAGAGGTTGCCCAGTCGCTCCAGCTCCCTACAAACCCCGTAGCAGCGTCTATTGCAGTGGCGGTAACCAACATCTTGCTGCCTCTCACCCAATCAGTAAGTACAAATTTTACCTTTCGGAATCACTCCTATCCTGCAACTTTTTTTGTCCTTCCCAAAGCATTCTACCACATAATTCTCGGATGCAACACCCTCAGTGTGCTGCCCCTTGCTATCACACTTGATGGCTCTCTCATTTTCTCCGGGTTTTGCTCCATTCAACCCGTCACCAAAGCTCCTACATGCGCTATTGGCAAAAATATTACCTACATTGACGGGTCTGCACCCAATTGCGCCATTATAACCGCATTACTCACGCAATTTCACAAAAATATCTTTCAATGGAGCAGCCAACACTGCCTCTTCCCCCAGTATGTCGCATACTTACCTACAGTCTCAGATTCACCACCTATCACCAAAGACTTCCGTCAATCCCTTGACAGAAAAAACCCAATGCAAGAAATTCTCAAAAACTACAAGCTAACAGGCATTCTTGAACCTGCAAATTCTCTATATAGCTCACCTGCCTTCCTCACACCCAAACACTGCTCAGATCCTACAGCACCCGCCATGAAATGCTGGCGTTTAGTAGAAGACTATCGCAAAATAAATAAACAGCTCAAACCCGACAATTACCCCATGCCAGTCATTCACAACCTCCTTGACTCACTCGGTTGCCAAAATGGATATTTTTGCACACTTGACCTACACTCTGGGTTCCATCACATCCCACTTGCCCTCGCCGACAGACAAAAAACAGCCTTTACAACGCCTTTTGGCCAACTCCAAAACACGGTTCTCCCTTACAGCCTTAAAACCAGCCCCGCTATTTTCCAACGCACAATGGAAACCATCCTGAGGGACCACCTGGACAATAAGTGTCTTGTGTACTTTGATGACATCATCTTTGGCCCCACCTTCCAAGAGGTCACCAAAAATCTAGCCCAAGTACTCACAACTCTCTCCAATGCGGGAGCAGTTATAGATATCACCAAATCTCGCTTTCTCGCTGAAACCATCAATTTTCTTGGTTACACAATCAATCAGACTGGCACATGTTCGGCCGAATCCCACTTGGAAGCTATCAAAAACTTCCCCCAACCGCAAACCACACGCCAGCTCCAACGCTTTATTGGTCTAGCTACCTACCTCTGAGAGCACGTCCCAACTAATTTTGCCAAGCACAAGAAAATCCTCTGAAACACAATCCCAGCTAAGCCAGCCCATAAACTTAACTGGACACCCGAGGCAACACAATGCTTCCATGATCTAAAAGACGCTATTGCTCAGGCAGCTTGCCTTGAGAGATTTGACCCAGACGCACCCACCAAAATTCACTGCATCACTTCTGCCACATCCCTTTGCGCTATCCACATTCAAAGGGATCCCCACAACAATGCACATATCATTGCTTACGCAAGCCGCTTCCTCTCTGACCCAGAAACTCACTACTCAAACACACAATGCAAGCTCCTTGCCGCTGTATGGGCTGCTACTAAAAAATTTTGTCATCTCAAATACGGCCTCTTCACCATATTCACGGACCATAAAGCTCTCCTTGGGGACCTCAAAGACTCTCGTCTCCTCCGCCTTCTCCTTAAACTCGTATATTTCAATTATACCTTCCAATACTGCCCTGGCAACCGCCTTGCTGGTCCCAACGCTCTCAGTTGCATAACCCTCAACGCGCTCAAAATGATTCCTACCAAACCTGAACAACTCCAAATTCTCCGACAATATCACAAACAGCTCAGCCACACCAACTGGAAAACTCTCTATTCCGTTCTTGAAGAAAGATTCTCATGACCTCATCTCAGGCAATCTACCTGGAAATTTGTCAAGCAATGCTCTCTCTGCTTTGCCCACAATTTCAATACTAATCACACAGGGACAATACTCTCTCCCATTCCGACAACAGACAGACACCAACGTCTGGCCATTGACTTTCGGGGACCCCTACCCCTCACACCTTGCCGTCACTGTTATGCACTCGTAGCAATAGATCATTTTTCTAAGCTGATCATCATGCGGCCGGTCAAAAACGCTAACGCTAACACTCTCTGTTCCTTCCTATCTGACGTCTTTTCCCA